GCTCTGCCATCCAGCTAGGTCTCAATTCACCTCGCTGGCCACTCCTCCAGCCCATGCTTCCAGGGCTTGCCTGTGAGGATGCTATGGTAGACAGTGTCCAAAGCCTTGCTGAAGTCAAGGCAGATAACATCCACTGCTCTCCCCTCATCTACCCAGCCAGTCATTCCATCATGGAAGGCTATCAGGTTGTTTAAGCATTATTTCCCTTTGGCAAATCCATGCTGGAGATATCCTTGGAGATACTTCAAACTCACCTGGACAAGTTCTTCAGCAACTTGATCTAACTAGACTTGCTTTGAGCAGGATGTTGGTCTGCAGGTGGCCTGGTGTGCTTACCAAACTACATTATTCTATGATTCTATGATAAATGCAGCAGGTGTTTTGTTCGGAAACTGGGGATTGTTTCTAGTGCAGGTGAGACAAGTGCAGATGTAGGTTTTTCAAGGGAAAAGACTGCTCGAGTTAGTACTACTGGAGGATCTTTGGTAGCAACAGAGAGAAAAAGCTATTGCCTTTTTTGGGACCTAGGCAGGTCTGGAAAGAGTTCTGAGAGTAATTAACACTGGTACAGAACTAGGGAGTGGAGAAGCTGGGAGCACTGCTATCCTCAGTTCCACTTAGTCCAAATGTTAGGTTCTGTCCCCCTGACCACTCGCTCATGGGAGTTGTTGCACATTCCTCTGAATGCTGTACTCCCTTCCTTTATGATCACCCAAAATGAGCTAGACTGGTGATTTAACAGTGGACACTGGAGGAGCTGCTCTGTAATACAGCTGTGGTTTTGTGGCCGTTTCCTAAACATAAGTCACTAGTGCCATGTAAGGTCTGCTGAATCCCCTGCACATGGCTGAAAGATTCAGATTTAGCGTCATCCGAAAACTTGATGTGCAAACACTCTGTCACCTCCTCCAGGTCACTGATAAAGATATTAAACAGGACAGGACCCCAGAGAGACTGCTGTAGTACTCCACTTGTTGCAGGCCTCCAGGTAGAGTACAGCCCATTGACCACTACTCTCTAAGTCTGATAATCCAGCCCATCTTTTTATCCATCTAGCTGTCTATCCATCCCTACTCTAATGTCCTAACTTGGATGAAAGACTATGATGGAAGACGGTGTTGGAAGCCTTGCTAATGTTCAGGTAAATGACATCCACTGCTCTTCCCTCATCCACAAATACAGTGATTTCATCATAGAAATAGGCTGATCAGGCATGATTTTCCTTTGGTAAATCTATGCTGTGCTGACTGCTTCTTCTTCATATGACCATAAGTGTGTTTCAGAAAGACTAACTCCACGATTTTCCTAGGGACTGAAGAGAGGAGGTTGAATGGTCTGTAGTTCCTCAGATCGTCCTCTGAAGATGTTTACATTACATGCACTAATATATTGCAGCAAAGGAAGAAGATCTACTGTTCTTTTTTTTTTTCACCTGGTCTGGTTGCCACAGTTGCCCTTGCTTTCTATAGTACCTGGGAGTTTATCCTGCAGTAACTCTGTGCATCCAAAGGTAATCTCAAACAACTTGAGACTGAAATGTCTGCATTGTAAATATCCACATTTAGATAGATGAATCCCAACTGATGGATCTTACCTGACTTGTCACCTTGAGAAAGGTCTTCTACTCCGAATGTCGCTATAAACATCAAGAAATCGAAAAAAAAGGCTTTCCTCCTGTTCTTCCCATGCTTCTCACCAGGCTGTGACACATTAATAGCTGCTACTAATGTTTGTTGACTCTGACTGAGGCCTGCAGATGTTTCTGTCATTGTGCTTGTGATCCAATAATCATTGTCCTTCCGCATATACACAGACAGACATATATACACTTTGCTCTGTGTACTGGCACAGACAGTCTGTAGAAGACTGTTACTCAAGAAGTTTTGACTATGGCTTGTTCACTGGCTATCCACACTTACTGTTTTGTATGTGTCAGGAACAGTGTGTCTTGCAAACAGAGAACGTTTTTTATATGAAGTTGTTCTTTGTGGTGGACTAGGTGAATGCAACAATAATGTGTGGTGTGGATGCTGATGGTGTGCTTCTTCATGAGATATCTCACTGGGGATATCTCAGAGAGCAATCTAATAGGCATGTCCTCAGGAAAAGCATCCCAACAAAGCTATTTCAAATGAACTGTCTTCCATATTTATCTTAATGGAAGTTTATCTCTCCCTAAATGAAAAGGTTTTTGTTGCGTTGTCAGTTGAGGGATCCTAGATGAGTAGTTGGATGATAACAGCTAGGAGAGATGAATCACACCTTGTGTTCTTAAAATCTAATGTAAGAGCCGCTACATCTGGTGCATATTTGCCAGAAAAAAAGCTTGAGAAACAACTTCCAAAAGGCATAAAAATAATTTGAAACTATTTTTAACCACATATCCTATGTAGATCTCTAGTAGAGACACTCAGGACAAATAGTTTATAAAGTTTCAAATCAGTCCTCAAAGAGGAGAAAGACAATATTATTTTTCCTATATCTGTGTTTATTTTGACAATATCTTCTTCCGGTTTGCATTCTAGACTCTGCTTGATGAAGATTATATTACAGGGTGTCTCTCAAAATGGAAGTGCTAGTAGAAGAACTTACAAAATTAAAAGCAAAAAAAAAAAAAAAAACTGAAAAATGCCAGTACTGGAATTTCCTTATTTCTACCTCCATATTAAATACTTGCTTTTCTATGTTGTGCAGCCTTTCCCTTGTATCTAATATGGTATCAGAGCTCTAGAAGACACCTATTGTAGTATCAAGGGAGAATCTGAGGAGCTACAGACCAATAAGTGTCACATCTGTACTGGACAAGTTAGTAGGAACTGGGATAAAATATATAATTAATGGATACATGTATAAGAAATATTGTCAACATAGGAGAGCAGGAATTCATGGCTCAAAAATATATTGGAGATCTCTGAAGGAGTCAATACGCAAGGTGTATCGAGTTACGGTATATTTGAATTCTTAAAAAAGGCTTTCAACAAGGAAAAGATAGCAGAGATAGCACCCCCTTATTCCACCATACACCAGAGAAAACTGGAACTGTGCAGAACCCATGGGAAATATTTTACACAGGTTCCACAGCCATCCATCCCTTTGCTAAGAACATCAGCAACCTTCTCCCCCACAGCACTACGACATTATGATACAATTTGAAATGGATTAAAGACACTATGTTCACTTTAGACCTGCAGCTTAGTAGCAAGGCTGAGGATTGACCAAAAATGAGATTTCTGAAAATATCGTATACTTTTAATATACTGTATACTTTCAATTCAAATGGTATCTAGGATTCATATGTTGCGATCTAAAAGGCTCTATCTAGATTATCAAATTAAACAGTGTCAGGAAGTGTTCTCTTGCACTTAGATCAAATGGCATGAAATGTGCACACCACTTAATGTCTTTTTATCTACAAAATATGGCAGTAACCAGAAAGGGTCCCTGATCAAGGCACATCTATATCAGGGTGAGCTGACTAGAACATACTAACTGAATTTATTAGATCATCAGTGACTGTAAAAGGAGCACAATAGGAACCTGAGTATTTATTTCAGATACAGATACCTCAATTATACCTAAAATTATATAACTGAAAGTGGAGCTGACTGCCATCCTGATGCCTTTAAGATACATGGCCTATAGCAGTTTTCTATTAGTTTAAATCCTTTGGAAGCCTACTGGGCACTGAGATGTCCACTCAGTGCATTAATGCCCTACTGGGCATTAATGGTGGCCAGTAGAAAAGGTTTACAGAAATACCTATGATAATGGGTCTAACACAGAGGGATATTCTGCCTGGTATAGTCTCCTATCAATTCAGGGATTTTCTTAGGCAGCTTCTATATGGATGCGATTCGTCTACAATATAGCTATACGCATTTGACCTTATTGTCTGGATTCCTTTTGTAGTCAAAAGAGAGAAAGAAATAACTATAGATGATGAATCATTTAATTTTAAAGGGATAAAATTTCTTCTGAGTAGAAAGAGAACTAATTACCAATTTAGAGATTAATTTTCTCTGACAGATAACGTTTGATTTCTAGTCAGCCCTGGCATTATATCTTAGGCTGCAATAGAATGAGAACTAAACGCAACCTTCTGGACAGGGTAATGCTTACATGATAACTCAAGATGCCATGCCTCAGACACTTGATACGAAAGTTCGAAGTTAGTATTTTCTGGAATGTTCATTTTTTCCAGAATATTGAATGTCTGCAAGTAGATGTAAGCAAGATCTTAAAAATATCATTTTTATACTGTGTCAGATTGTATTGTTACAAGCCTATCTCTCAAAAAGAAATAGGTCTCCTATTACAAACACTCTCTTGTACATACAGAAACACATAGAAACAAAATTCAGGTACATATTACTTTTTTTTTTTTAGAGAGCAATTCAGACACAAGATTTCAGTTGTTCCTCAATGCTCAGTGGTTGCAACCTAGATTTCAGTTATTCCACACATCAGATAAGTGAATGAAAGCAAAATTGATAAAAGTAGTTTTAAAAATTAGAAGTAGTCACGGACAAATAAAGCACGTGGTTCATTCTTGGTTTACATAACTTATCTTTGGAAATTTACAATGGGGACATCTCCATCTGAGCTAGCTGTGCTCCAGTGCATAGAAATAAGGGAACTTCCAGAGTGTGATTCGTGAGACTTACTTTAGATGTCTGGATGGGATGTCACAATATGACTAATCAGGACCTTAAAGTGCCTGCACCTTTTGAATGCTTATAAAAGGACTCCAAATAACAGTTCCGCTGGAGACAACTACAGCGTAAATATCTAAATCCACTACAGGGAATCCACAGCTTCACCTGTTCTGAATGTCTTAGATTTCTTTTATAAACCTTGCTTTTATTCATAACACTGATCAACTGCGATCATGAAAGTTTCTTGATGACAAGCCCTGGGACTTGATGCCCCTTGTCTTGCATTCTAACTATCTGTCTCTAGTGAATTAGGCACTGTGGTTGTTCTTTTCTTTAGTAAAGGTGCTAAGAAAAGCCTTTCTTTTTTAACAATTTTTTCAGAGCCCCTTTTACCTCCTTATTTCGTAGGGTGTAGATGAAAGGGTTTAGCATGGGAATAACAGCAGTATAGAGGATAGAAATGATATTGCTTTTGTATGGTGAGGATGTGCCCCCAGGCTGAGCATACATGAAAAAGACAGTTCCAAAGAACAAGCTAACAGCCAGTATGTGGGAAGAGCAAGCGGAGAAGGCCTTGCGCCTGCTCTTAGCTGAAGGCATTTGGACAACGGTGGTAATTATATAACCATAGGAGATAAAACCCACCAAGGCAGTGCTCACAATAATAGATCCACATACACTGAGCATTATTATTTCATTGAAAAATGTGTCTGAACAGGAGACATGCATCACTGCAGGAACATCACAGAAGTGGTTTATTCCTTTGGGCCCACAAAAGGACAAGCTGAACGTAAAGCCTGTCTGGATGGTGCAGTTAATGCAGCCTGACAGATAAGAACCCACGAGCATACCAACACAAAGTCTTTTATTCATAGTGACTTGGTATAGCAGTGGGTTGCAGATGGCATAAAAGCGATCATAAGCCATCACAGCAAGGAAGAAGGCTTCCGTTGTGCCAAAGAGAGAGAAGAAGAACATCTGAGAAGCACAGCCATTGTAGGAAATGATTCTTCTGCCCAGTGAGAATGTCAATGCTGCTTTAGGGGTAATGACAGAGGAATAGCAAATATCCAAGACAGACAAGTTCTCTAGGAAAAAATACATAGGAGTGTGCAGCTTGGAGTCCATTCTAATGATGAGTATCATACCAGAATTTCCTACCACTGTGATAACATACATTGTTGAGAAGAGAACAGAAAGGAGGACTTGCAATCCTGGAGGAGATTTGAACCCAGCCAAAATGAACTCAGTTACCTTGGTGTGGTTTTCCATGGTTCCTTTCAGACACAGTTCAAATAAGAAATAATGCTGCAGAGGCATTATTATCAGGCACACTTTGCCTGGGGAAACAATTAGAAGAACAAGATAAAACATACAAGAGATATGAGATAAATGGAGAGCAATGGAAAATAGAGTAATCTATCATATCCACAGATGTCTCTAATATATTCATGGATATCCGAACCAGTCATCCTGTCTCATTCTCTAGAAGGTGCTGAAGAAGAATATTTTACACACAGCTCATCTGATCTATAGTACAGGTCCACTGCAGAACAAAATTTCTGTTTCTTGATTGATGACAAAGGTATAGTGATATAAAAGTGATATGAATCTCCATGCAGTCATTGTTTCTTTTTTTGCGGTTTCTTCTGTCATCTTTTCTGTTAGATACATTATCAGAGCTCCCATTTACCTAACCTTTTTAAAACATTGAATTAATTCCTTGTATATTACTAGAATCATACTTTGGTAATCCTTGATATGTACCTTCAGTAGCCCCATTTACTTCCTGTTTGTTCTTTTTGTATTCATCTATCTTAAAGAAGAAAATAACTTTGGAGAGAGAATTTTTCTTTGCACAGTCTTGCTCATCTATCTTTTGGCTAGTTTCATTTGGGATTCTTATATGCACAGAATCTAAGTTTCAAGACATTCCAGATTAAGCATCCACTCTAAGCCTGCTGTCTGTAGCTTCTTCTTTTGTGAAAGGAGCAAAATAGATAGCACAGTGTGATCCTCTCATATATGTCTAAGACGAGGGGGAATAATACTCCCTTGGAGGTATCTATTTTCATTAGAAAAACAAACAAGCCATCAAGACAATGAGAAGAAAAATGAAAGACCTTTTTGAAGGGTGAGAAAAGAACTGCCCCTATCAGCAAGAACAAAAAGGAAAAATTAGAGGTTGTATATCAGTGTGGTCAGCCATTTGATGGATGTGAAGCCTTGTCTGATTGAATTGTCCTTATTCTTAAATGTTTATTTTTATTCTGATTTTGTCTAATCATTAATGTTTTAAATGTAACAGATACAAACTTATGAAATATTTTCATAATAATGAAATAACTTTTTGATGGAAATATATTCTATAGCCTATTAAAAATCCTTCTGTTTTAATAATCATCACTATTGCTATAAGTAAACTACTTCTATAAACCTTACAGAAGCCTCAGCTAGGAATGAAGCTGCCGGAAATGCTTTTATAGTCAATGAGAGAGGTCCATTCTTGAAAATATTCAAAACCTGCCTGGACATGGTCCTAGGCAACGTACTCCAGCTGACCCGGCTTGAGGAGGAGGTTTGATCTGCAGAGTTCCTTTCCAGCCCCAACTTATCTGTGATTCTGGGCACCTTGTGAACAGAAGTTTCACAATTTGTTTAAGGTCATTTCACTACAGAGTTATTGTTCCGGTCCAAGCCAGAAGGGCAAGCACCCGAACAGAAGGGCATGATGGGGGTAATGGATGGGGGACCGTAAACTAAATTAAACAGATTCGGGATGGCAGTATAGGTGCTTCTGTGGCCAATGAATGGATTTACAATATCAGTAGACAAATAACCTTTTAATAACAATTAACAACAGCAATTATAACTGATAACCTTGAAAACTTTGATATATATACAAACATATATATATATATCTAAGTAAGTATTTACAACACAGGTGGATGGATATATTATTTAAAACAATATAAAGATGTGCACATACAGGGAATAATAGATTCATCTGAAGAAAATAGGATATAGCATACAGCCAAATATGAAATCAATAATAAAAGACACCTGAAAGGCCACGTCAGGCAAATGCACTTCTCCCAGGCACTGTGGCTGTGTTATTAATCAGGCCACACCTATGAGCATGCTGTCTCCCCAGTACTAAGACTGTGTGGATGGTCCAGCCACACCTGTAGGTATGCTGTCTCAATCAGGCCACACCTATGGGTGTGCCATCTCCCCGGTACTAGGACCATATTATTGCTTACTTGTCTGTTGTTGGTGGAGCTCCTGCCGAAGGTGTGGAGGGGTACAGATGTTTGCTGGGCCCTGGTGTGGTGGCTCCTCTGGCAGCTCCTCTGGCAGCTCCTGGTTCGGCATCCTGAATCAGAATCATGGTCGGAGTGGAAGCTCTAACCTTCCTGTCTGCCATCCCGCGGCTTCTGGTGAAGGCCTTGAAAAAGGCTGCTTAGCTTCTTGTAGCCTTTAAAAAGGCCACTAAGCTGCCATTTTCATTCTGCCATCATCACCACACACAAAGCTGCAGCTCTTTTTATAGGCAGCCAAGTGTTGAGCGTAGGCATATCTATTAATACGTGGTGTGTGCTGATTGGTTAGTTCTTAATCCCTCATTTGAACGCGGACCTGCTTGGAGACTTAGATGTTAGGTCCCCCATAGCGGCAGAGTGCTATGGGTTACCCTTTGACCAATCAGCTTGAAGATGTTTTACAAGGGGTCATGTAAAGGCCAGCCTGAGTGACAGCCGCAGTTGCTGGAACTTTCCGTAAGTCATAAAACTAAACAGCTACAGTTATCAGTGGCTACAAAGAGCTGCAGCAATTTGACAAATATTCCACTTCACAAGATATTTGATGGGTTTTCTTGACATATTTTCAAAAGAATCACCTTAAGATCAATGCTTTAAAGCCAGTAAATGTTTGAAGCCAATCTGTAGAGCCACAGGATCTACACAGCTTGCAACGTTTAATACGTCCCTTCAGAGCTCACTAACAAGTACCAAAATGCTATGACCTTCATATTATAAATTAAAAATTGAAATAGAAGGAGAAATAGGTTAGGTAATCATTGGTGTATAAATGCTTTACTTCATTATACTGTAATAAGAATAAAGGTGGACTTGGCACTTAAGTCTGATCTAGTTATTATAGGCAATCTTTAAAATGTATGAAAGAAATAGACACCTTTGGAGAATGGTTCATACTATCTAAGACTTATGTTAAAGAAAAATAGAATTAATATCCCCTGGAGGTAATAATCTCTGTCCATGAATTTTAAAGGAGCCTAGGGTGGTTTAATTGGACTTAGATGTCTAATTTATAGGTAGTTTTGGAGGAATCCCATGCTTAAGTTTCTAAATATTTTTGTGGGTCTTGATGTCCAATCTGAATCCATTTCAGGCTTGTGACTGAAACACGTTAGCAGTCTAGGATAGTATTCATTTTAATTGTAGATAAAGCTAAATTGGCCATTTGTGCAAAAATAGATCCTACTAGAGTGTAATTTAGTTTAATTAAGACTTATGGGCTCTATAAGGAGTTGGACATTTATCTTCTAAATTACTGAACAATGAGAGAATTACCCAGCACTAAAGTATCTACACTGTCAGTTAAGGATACATGCATACCATGACTTAACACCATGTTTCTCTAGAATGCCTCTAGAATATCCTAAACTATGCTGAACCACAGCTGAATTCTGGAGTATTTCTTGAGGTCTGTGTTGGTGACTTGGCCTGTGTCCAAACTCTCATTCACATGGCCTGCACAGAACGATTGTTGGCAGAGTTTCCTCTGCCAGTATATAATTAAAGCTTAGCTCTTCTGAAGGATAGACAAAATGACCACTTTATGGTCATTAGTTTAGATCTCAGCTGGGATGAGTTAGCTTCCTTATCTTAGTTTAGATCTCAGCTGGGATGAGTTGTTTAACTTAAGGTAGGATCATAATTCACAGGTCTTGACTAGGTGCTTTTGGCTAAGCAAGAGGAATCTCCTTGCTTTGATCTTTCTGCATTCAGCAATATGGATAGAGAGAAGGAGGTTCATGGGTGTTAGCATATGTTAGTGTACTTAAGTCCTCTTACTGCAGGTGGAGCAAAAACAGCTTCAGAGGAGAGCTCACTCAAGCTATCTAGTGACATGTGGTAAGGCCTGGATTATCTGAGAGATCAGTTGAAGACCCTACAAGAGATCTTTAGCACTTTCGGAGCTGAACTGGCACTAAACAGTTGGGGTTTTTTTTGTTGTTTTATTTGTTTTGTTTTTGTCAAGCAATGACATCTTGTTCTGAGTGTCTATTTTGGGGTGATCTGCATGGAATCCCTAAGTTCCATTGACTGCATTAACAAGATCTTCAAAGATTACAGTGGGATGCTAGCCACCTCATGCATATATTGATCCCTACATTTAGAGGCTTACATGTAGTTGTTTTAGTCTTAATCTCATCCCTAAGGTGGGATTCACCTGACCTTCACAGGCACTTCAGCAATTCTTTGACATTTCTATGACACTTACTCATCTCATCCCTCAAAAAAGATCTAAAGTAATCAGATGAATCATATTAATTGTTTATCTCCAAAAATTATAAATTAAGTCAAAATGATTAGTTAAAATGCTGCAGAGTGGAACTGAGGAGGCAAACACAAGTGAAATGAATCCAATCTGGGAAGCTGATCTTCTCCTGAGAAGGCTGCAAATTCTGAAGGGCAAATGATTTATAAATTTTTCTCATATTGTTTAGGTTAAATTAGTGGCAGGGGAAGTATCAGAAAGAATGCTTTACTATGAGGCCAAACACTAAAATACTAGACTTTTTTTTTTGGTTGGTTCCCTTCCTATGCTTGTATGATCATATTCTAGAATCAATTATGTATATTCTCATAGCATGTTTTTTACTAATACCTGCAATAGAGCCAGCACCTTACATTTCTGATAATAGCTTCCCATTATGGCTAATTCAAAACAGTTCTCGACAGCTCTGTTTGAATTGGGGCTCAAGTCCTCAGTAAGTCTGATTTGAATCAATTGTTTCCACATCACCAGTATGCACAGAACAAGTTCTTCCTTCAAGTGTATAAGTTGCCAGATGCTTCATTAAACACAAAATCTGAAATGAAAGTCTGTATGTAGGTAGCATGGAAGATCAGGAACTACAATCTCACATGAAAACTCAAACACACATTTAACATGGCAATAATGTTATGCAATCAGTTTCTCATCTTTTTATTTATTTATTTATGCTTGTTATAGCATATTAAACA